GCTTATTTCAAGTTTAGCCCTACTGTGCCCTGTGTCTGCTGAAATGACACAAGGCACTCATTAATCTTGAAAACAAGGTTGATGCTTAGATTCAAAAGAACATCTTACAGTTAAGTGTTGCTTTAAATAGCACACGGGATAGTCTGCAATTGGGTATAAATATAAACATTACAATGAATGTCCTGGAAACATGCCATGTGATGTGTAAAGTTCCTTCACGTGGGATTTATATCTTGATTTACTGCGGATGACTGTCTGAGTGTGTGTAGTGTTTTGAGTGGGTTTTATTCCATTTAGTGTTTGAGTTCTGGAAGTATATAAACTGGTGATTTCATACACTCTTTGTGAAGAAGTTTCACTCTATGCTAAAATCCTTGAAATTATTGTAATTATGAATATATTTAAGCAATATTGTAAAGCCTCAGGAGGAAATCATGACCTTGCGATAATTTTCTATACACCAGCTGGTCCTTATCTGACTGATAAAGGACTGCTATGAAAGAAAAGCCTTCTAGCTATTATAAACACAATTCTATTATTAGTGTTTTGATGGAGATATTTTCTTCTGAAAATGAAGTTGTTTTATTTGTTGTCGCTATTTCTATTTAAAAAACATATATTCCAGTGATTGGTTGAATGTTGTTCTGTTTTAGGAAGGTAACTGGCAAGCTTGTTAATCATGTTTCCTCTGAACTAGGAATGTTTTTGTTTCTCTTGTAGGTCCTGCCCTTTGTCATGAAATGTATAGGAATGTGTGAGTGATGAGATTACTTTTTGCTGTCAACTTGAATGTTGTAATAAGCACAAAATGAGGACTCTATTAGCTGGTTGTTTACAGTAAAGTGGTTGTTTCTTAGGATTCCATTCGGTTTATTATTATTTTGAAAGAAAAAGGGGACAACAGAATTTTTAGGCGTCCCCACTTCTAAAAATGTGTATTGATTCTGCTTCAAGGAGCTGGAGGGGGGAGGTACCTAGTATCCTTTATTTCTTTGAGTTGGAGGTTATCTTGTTGTCCCTTTCCTGGGATTGGATAGATAGGGCCACCACATTTGTTCTGAACAGTAGTGTAACTAGGACTACAGGAGAGAACTTGTTAGTCGTGCCATCATCTTTCTCTTCAAAATGTCCATGAACTGTCAGATGCTAAGGGGGGAGAGAAATATTGAAGATTTTGGGCTAGTTCCATGTCTGACTATGAGCTACTCTGTAGCCCCAAATAGCCACAACACAAAGCACTAAAACTGATTTCCATCCAAGACCCGTTGCCAGCCTATGCTATTCTTATTCCTGGGAAATTCTTTGTGGGGTTGTAATGGCTCCTTTATGTTAGGGATATAAAATCTTGGTTAACAGATTAAGCGGGATTCTTCTCCCCCACCTCTCCCTGTGCTGAGCTGCTGGACCCTGTGGATGGGAGGCTGTGCCTGGGTACCAGTTAGGGTGATGCTTACCAGTTAATCGGTTACCCATTCACATCCACACATTGTTGGAACTGGGGCCAGAATTTGACCTTTTAAAAAAATTCTCTATACTGTATGTGGTTTTCCCTGAATCAAAGTTCTCCCTGAAGTGGTCTTTGGTTCAGATCCTCTACGCACTGGGCCCTGCATTAGTCTACAGCATGTGCTACTAGCTCTTGTGATTTCATACGTGGCAAGCTCTGTATCTGACAACAACTCTTTTAACTTCTTGTTAATAAAAAGTTGGCTTTTCAATCAGAGAGAGCTTGTGAGCAGTAGCAACTTTTCTGAAACTGTGGGGCTTCCACTTTGCTGTAGCATATTGAAAAGGCTGCAAGCAGAGCTAGAGTCGATCCTGTTTAAATGACACTATCATTTTTGTTATTTCTGCTTTTCTTTCACAGTATGCATTCTAGTCAGTACATTTTGGGGGCTTTATTTTACTTCTTGGGAGGTCGAAGTCACTTGACCTCCTACTTTGTCCCTCACAGTGCACCTGTATTAATAAACCTGCAGAATTTCACTCCCTTCTCTTTTTTACTGTTGGATTGCAGTTGTGTTAGGGAAATGTTGGCCCTAGTATTTGGCAATAAGGAGCTAGGTCCACAGAAGGCAAAGCCAATGTGAGTCTAAAGACAGACTTCAGCTGGCTTTGGATCAGGCCTTCAAGGAATTAGCTTTAGTATTCAAACACTCACCATGACACTGTCACTGTATTGTATATCTCAGAGCAATAGAAACATAGAGAGAAAAAATAGAAAACTGGACCTTTGTTGTTACCTGTCTGTCGAACAGAATCAGGAAGGTCAAAGATGTCTAAAGACACTTCCCAGAGAGTTATTAGATAACCCGACTCATCCGCTTAGGGATGGTGTTTCAGGTTGGGACCCCTATTCCGTATCTGATCACCTGCAGAGTGTCAGCGCTTAGACTGAGATGGCGCGTGAAATAAAAACTTAAGACTTGGGTTTTCAGTGATAACCACAAGACTATATTAAGTGAATTAAATTTAACAAACAGTAAAAATTTGTAAAAGATGGTATACCTCTAATTAACAAATAAGGGGGCAGTCCCCTGTTAGATTACATGGACAAGAAGGTTGTGAGTAGAACCAAGCTCATTGTTTTGTCCCCATATATTTATTTTTTCTTTTTCTCCACCCTTCTACTTGTCTCCTTTTCCTTTCTTCATCTTTTATTTCCTGTTCTTCATATTTGGGAGGCACGGTTTATTCTCCTCGCAATGTTAATTTTGACTATTAAAATGTACAATATATAGTTTTGTACTGAAGTTAGACATATTATAAAAGCATACAATATTGAATCATATAATATACACTCTTCCTTAAAACAAGCACCACCATCACCAACAACAAAATCCCCCAAAACCTAAAAATCCAAATATAACAAAGAAGGAAACAAATGTTTGTTTTCTGTCATTTCTATATTCTATATGAAAGTGACTTCACAATTATGGGATAAATTCTCACAGTCATTATGACTAGCACGTAAGTTGTTAAATCTGAGACGCTTCTATGAAGTGTATCCAGATATTTAATAAGTCATTTATGCGATCATAGTCACTCAAATATCTCTACATCCACCTTTCTTTTTTTTTTCCCCCTCTTCAGTAATTTTTTCTTTGCCTCTGTGTCTGTCTGGTTTTTTGTTTTATTTTAAACTCATTTCTTCTCCAGGCTGATTATGCATTCAGGAAAGCTATGACCCCAGCTTTAGAGAAGTTAGGGTTGATATGTGCCAGCATGAATATTCATTAAAATTAAAGGCTTGTTTAATTTAATATTGTATATATGCATTTTATTATGCTGAAATTTCCTTGAGCTCTTCTAATACTACCCTTTTTAGAGTAATTATTGAAAATCTGAATTCAGGATAAAACAATAAGGTGTTGTAGATATTAGTCTAAAAATCTGTACAGATGAGTAGTAAGATGTATATCCTTAATATAAAATTCCATGGGCTCAGTAATTTGGGGTAGAGTTGCCAGATGGTTTCAACAAAAATACCAGACACACTTGACATTACATCACAATCTACATTACATCTTATTTAGAAAATACCGGACATTTATATTTTCTCATTTCTATTTTCTCAATTTGTTTCCTGAACAGAAAGCTCAAATACTGGACTGTCCGGTTCAAAACTGGACACCTGGCAACCCCTACTTCGGGGGAGGAAGTTATCATTCTCTCTTAAATTCCACAGGATTTTTCCATAAGGAATTTCAGCTATCAAGCTGCTTATTTCATGCTTACTCATGGTTTCCTCTAATCTCCTTTTTGTGTTGTACCTGCTTACTGGCAGCAATGAAAAAAATGAAAGGTGTTTGTATTGGTAAGTGTACAAAGAATTGAGTTGTTGGAAGGACAGTGCAGTCTCTGTGCTCATTCCATCACTGGTGTCTTCTGGCAAGGCTGCCAATTGCAGTCATGTTTTATATAATATCAACATTGTCCGCAACTGTTTGTTTGCTTTCCTAATAAACAGTATTTTCTTAGAAAATAAGGTTAATGTTTATTTTAATCTAAAAAACTGAAAACAATATATCTGTGGAGATTCCTCCTGACTGACTAGATCATAGTTTTTATTTTTTTAATTATTTTTAAATTAAAACGGCTCTGCTTTGCTCCTGTGGTTTTCTCATCCTAGCATGGTGATAAGAAGATACTTATTAGGTAACAAGTGCAACTACAGCCCAGGGAGACTTAAGTAGTCAGTGGAAACTACATTATTGGAATAGCATATCCCTGCTGCCGTGTTAAGGCATGAAACAATGAAGTTAAAGCTGTGTTCATTAATATAGTACTGGCAAACACTAGAATGACAGCTGAAATATATCAATGAAATAGATATGGATTATGTTACTGTAATTTTACTGGAGTAATTAGGCACTGCACATCTAATCTTTGGAGAGGATAAAATGTTGAACTTAATCAAGCCCCACTGCTGCTAACACTTCTTCAGTTTGAGATCTGATTATCTCCTAGTGATGATGCATTCTAATTACAAAACAGTTGGTGCAGATACAGGTAAGTTGTTTGCAGACACTGTTAAAATTTGCAAATGAAATTCAGTGAATGGTGTGTTCCATTTTGTAATCTAGGCATTTACAGGAAAAGCAGTTATACATGACATCTTTGCACTTCATGGCAACAAGATAGGAGTTTATTATTTCTGATTTACTGTATTAGTTAACATGAAAAACAATTACATTTTATTCAACTGCATAGATTGAGCAACAAATACTGTGAGGTGCAAAACCCTTTATAAACTGATTGGCATAATTTGGCTAGATTCTGCATATGCTTAAGGCTTTCCTGTCATAGCTTTTGTTGATTTTATTTATTTATTGGTTGGTTGGTTTTGTTTGGTGCACTTCCTGATGTTGCAGAGCTAATCATCTCATAGGCTATTCTGTAAGAGTCTTGAAAGCCTCTCCTGGAGTGTGACTGAGGTGATGTTCTTAGCTGCTGTTCTCATGCTTTTTTTTTTTTTTTTTTTATATATAATGTTTCAGCTCATCCACCATATACCATGTGCTTTAGAGTGAAATTCTACCCACACGAACCCTTGAAGATTAAAGAAGAGCTCACCAGGTATTTTTTCTGTCTCTGCACTTAATTTAAATCTTTACCAAGTCAAGAAATCATGCATTTACTCACAGGATAAGTCTCCTTTGGTTCACTGCAAACTAATATCACATATGCTGTGCTAAACATGTATGCTGTTGCTAACATTTATTTAACATATATATATATATTTCTTCCACTTTCCCAATACTCTTTGAGAGATTAACTGATGCACATAAATGAGTGGAAACAGAGTGTGGGTTTCAACATAATGCACCATAGACTGAGGCAGTGGTTAGAAGAGAGGACCTGGAATTAAGATTTATTTTTGGCTCTGCCTCTGTCTAGCAGTGTGGCCTTGGGTAAGTTTGCTCTATGCCTCAGATTCCTCATCTTAAAATAAGGAAGAGAATATTACCGTGTTAGTGAAGCCTAATTCTGTTATGACCCTCAGGCTTCAAATATGAACATGAGTAGTCTCACTGAATTGACTTGTGAACCTTTGCAAGATGTAAAGAACTTGGGGTATGTCTATAGTTGCACCCTCGTTTGAACTAGGGATGCAAATGTAGTCATTCGAAATTGCTAATGAAGTGAAAAAATGAGGAGTAACGTTAGTTCTAACCAAGGGATTTGGTTCGAACTAACGCGTCCCGGCATGCACTTCCTGGTTCGAATCAGCTGTGATTCGAACTATCGCGCCGGTGAGATCATGCTAATGAAGCGCGGGATATTTAAATCCCGCGCTTTGTTAGCTATTTTGATTGTCTGCATTCGTTTGAACGAGGGTGCAAGTGTAGACATACCCTTGGAGACCTTCTTCAGGAAGGTGCTATAGAATTGCTACATACTTCTATTATTACTCATTTGATTGCCCTTTGAGTTGTGAAGCATGCACTCTTGCAGACCACAGCTGGTGCAGAGGTTGAGGGCTGTTATGGGTCTGAATGGCAGCTGAACAGTCATGTTCGATGGATGGGAGTAGGGGTGGGGATGCTACCTATTGTTTTTTAGTAGTCCTCACTCATTTAACATGTACGTTCTGTTGCTATGGATATTTTCCAAGAATGTATAGGGAAAATATGAGGCTGGTAATGGCCCTCTGGACCACTGCACCAGTCTTCTTTTCAGGAATGCATGTATGCCTCATAACTGGGAGTGCAACAAAATAAGTCATATGTTGTGGAAAATATTAAAGCACTTGAATAAAAATTGTCCCCAATCCTGCAGATTGCTAAATGCTATGTTTTGTAGATATGTATATGTTTAGAGACCTGACCAACAATGGTGTTCAGATTACAGTTGTTTTCCTTGGGTAAAATATTAGAACAAAGTAGTTTACTGGATAGGGGACAGGCGTGTGTTGGATTATTTAGAATAATCATTAGTATCTATTCTTGGACAAATCTTTGTATAAATTTGGTGTAACTCTGGGCCATCCAACAAATTGGCTTCGTTAACTAATCTTTGTAAGATATTCTAAGGCTTTAGGATGAAAGTTTTTGTACAAATACAATGTCCATATACATTGTATATTGCATTTCCTTAACATGTATTTGTAGTTATAAATCCATGGTGTCCAACAAGTTCTGAAGCAACTAGTTCTATAGCGAACTAACCACACTCAACTGGCCAAATAGTCACATGTGGCTGGTGGCTAGCGTGTTGGACACTGTGGGTATAAAGCATCTATGGTATGTAGGTAATGCTACTTGATTTATTTTACTACTTATAAAATATTTGAATTGACCCAAGCATACCTCTTGTCTTGATGTTGCTTTCTTTTAAGAACTATGCACTGTACAGGGCCTAGAGAGGCAATCAAAATATCATGCTTGTGGGCTTTTTGGGTGGGATTTTGGATTAATTTAAACATAAATCATTTAAAAATCCTTTTACTGTTTGTTATGTTTAGCTACTCTTTTTATAAGTATCAATTAGTATAATTATAAATTTAAAGATACTAAAGGCAAAACGCTCTTGATTTTAGCCAAAATGAAACAATAATCAAGGAAACGAAGAAACAATAATCAAGGAAAAATAATCACTTTTCATTTTGTTTAACTTTTTTTCATTTGATAGCATTTTATGAATAGTCAGTTTTACTTGTTTCCCCCATATCATGAGTTAGGCAGTTGTTCTTTTGTTTGTGTGTCTTTCACATAAAACTAGGGAATAGGAAACATTTCCAAAAACAGGAAAATGTAACAGTATAACCACATTTACTCCTTGGGGGATTCTGTGTCTAAAAATTAAAAATGTTATGCTCAATATTTTAAATTTTCGCTAATTTTATTTGACAAAATACCACTACATAATCATGCCAGTTTGTTATTTTGGTAATTTATTTCAAAATAACTGTCAGCAAGTATGTCTGTAATAATTTGCCTGGGAGTAGAGCATTAAAGAAACTCCAGTACAACCCCATCTCTGTTTCTCTGCCTCCTGTCTTCCCCCAGAGCCTAAGACACCAACAGGCCCTCCCCACTAGAGCCCACCTGTAGGGTCCCCCCTCAGCCCAGATACCCTCACCCCCAGAGCACAGCTACAAGGCCTCCTTGCCCAGACACTCTTCCCCCTTCCTTCTCGTCCTCTCCCAGAGCCCTGTGATCCAGAGGGAAAAACAGTCTGGTGTTCAGAGCTAGGCTTGTACAGAATTTCCCACATTCTGCCCTCTTCTTTCCTAAAGGCCTGCTGGGAACTGAAGCTGCCAGGAACCCTCTGGCTCCCTCTCCCTTCTAATTCCCTCTTCCTCCCTCAGTATTGTCTTCTATGTGCAAGCTGGGAGCCGCTGACTGCGGTGTCCTGTAGCAGCACTGCGGGGAGGGGGAAGGAAATTCTGTGTGCACAACATTAATTTCTGCACTGTGCAGTGGCGCAGAATTCCCCCACAAGTAACATTTGCTATAGCAGCTAAAACAGTAGGCAGTGTGTAAAATTAAAAATAAGAGCGAACAACCCCCTGTATAGCTAAGCTAAATGAAGTGAATTTATTTTCTTATATCAAAATGACCATGTATTAAAAAGATATAAAATGTGCCAGTGTTTAGCCTAGTGCAAGCAGTTGTTTCTTTTTGAGCCTGGCTCTCATTTTAAGTAGGAACCCTCCACCCCCTTCATTCCTTTCCTTGTGGATGAGTTACTTTTCTTGCTGTGGATGTTTTCAGATACTTTACTGGACAATAAATTAAGGACACTCTGTCACTTTGACCTCTGCGCCAGCTGTGCTCCACAGGAGTGTGCCACTCTCCTGAAAAGTGGTGGAGTCAGCTGAATTATAATGATAGAAGGCTGCATTCCTGATAGCACCTGGTGCCTTGGTAGAGATCAAAGCGCTTTACCAAAGTTATTCTCACACCTATCCAGGCAAGGTAAATTTATCTTGTTTTTATTTCTCACACACACACAAGCTTGACCTCACAGTTTAAAGATGGAAATGGAGACAAAGCAAGGTGAAGTGGCTTACTCAGGAATAAAATCTGGTCTCCCAATTACCTGTTCTAGTTGCTAGGCCTGAAAGCAAGGCTGCTCATATGCACAGACATAGCTATGTGACAAGGAAAAATGGGAAATGTCCTGTTATGCAGAGGCAGTTGAGGAGGTTGTTGGGCCCTGGGCCAGAGGGGACATATTCCCACTGTTTTGATCAGCAGTCCCTCCTCCCCAAGGGCTCTTGACTTTCTTTCCCAGGCAGGAGTGTTAGGTGGTTGGAGCAACCCCTTGTGCCCATGGCCCCATGCCCAGACAGAAGATCTGGAAAACAGAGTGGATTGGGGCATGGGGCCACCCATTTTTCTGGGGGCCTCCAATTGGCTAGGGTCCCTAGGCCTAGGTCCCAGTGGTTAATCTGCCGCTGCTGTAGTGCACAAGTAATGAATCCTAGCTGCACTACTCTTTGAACATTGGTCTTTGAGTTAGCTTTGTACTGCCTATGCTGTATATACAATGGTATTTACTGTACCACATCTCTTGCACTGTTGCACTGTTTGATATACAAGGCTAAATCTGACACATGCAGCATCTCTCTAAATCTACAGTATGAACTTCTATACGTGGTAGTCTCTTCAGAGCTTTATAGACATAATTGTTAATAGTATACAGCCATCAAAGAGAGGTGGATAGACAGATGGAGAGGGGAAGATCTTTCTCAAGAGAGGTGGTCTGATTTCCCTTGCTTTTCAGTGACAAGATTTAAAAAAACTCTCATCATATTGCTGACTTTTTTTGCTTATTAAAAAGAATGGGAGAAGTGATAACGGGTGTAGAATTTAAATAGGAGTTAAAAGGCCTGATGAGTGCCACCAACAGCGAAGGTAATGGGCCTCTTATTAGATGTCTGAGTAAATGGTGGCCAGACATGTTGAAATGAGAGAGGGTCTGTGTGTAAATTTAACTGTAAAGCTGCAGGTAGTTTTAAATGTGCAAAGTGTTTCAAACGTCTAAGGCAGTGGCCCTCAACCTTTCAGTATTATCCCCCTTTCAGTTTGATTTGTCAGTTTTGATTTGCCTTTAAAGACCCCTAAAGTTTCACTAGATTTAAAAACCACTTGCTTGCAAAACCAGACATAAAAATACAGAGATGTCACAGCACACTATTCCTGAAAAATTGCTTACTTTCTCATCTTTACCATATAATTATGAAATAAATCAACTGGAACATAAATACTGTACTTACATTTCAGTGTATAGGATGTAGAGCAATATAAACAAATCATTAATTTTAGTTTGTACAGACTTTGCTAATGCTTTTTATGTAGCCTGTTGTATAACTATGCAAATATCTAGGTGAGTTGATGTGCCCCATAAAAGACCTCTGAGGCCCTAGTTGAGAAACACTGTGTTAAAGGACCAGTAAATTAGCATAGCAATGGGAAGGGGAAACTGGGTTGTCAGACCCTATATCAGGGGTCAGCAACATCTGGCATGCATAACATATATGTCAAGCAAGATGATTTTCAATTTCATGCACAATGAACAGGCTCCTCTTAGCTCCCCCCACGCACACCGGGGAGCCCTCCAATATAGTA